CATTCCTGAAATTCAGAAGACATATAAACAGTGCACGTTCACCATACACTGTGCATGGTGGGCCAGCCAGATGGAGTGGTGATTAAGACGGCTGGATCCCACATGGCCGACTGTGTGGTTAGAGTCCCGAACCCAGCAGTCTGAAAAACATGCCAAGCACGAGTGCACACCTGCCTAAAATCCTGAGAGGAGAAGAGAAGAGATGAAATTGTGGCATGGCCGTGACCCCTGGGGCTGTGATTTTCCACACCACTCCCACCCCTCTCTCTCTCTGGTAAGTGCATGTGCCCTACAGCAGAAGCTTTTAAAAAAACTAACGGCACGACTACATAAAAGAGCCAGTACTCTCAGACCACCATCTGCAGAGACCTTCTTGGATCCAAGATTACTGAGCCAAAAAGGGAAGGTACTGGGTTGTCGGGAAAGTCATGACACATTTTTGCATAGAAAAACATAGAAGAAGATGTCATGACTTTCCCAACAACCCAATAGACTCTACAGAGAGCTTGCCTAGGCCCTACCTGGGATCTGAGGGAATCAAGAAAGTAAATCCTAATGCCACTCAACTGCACCAAAACCGGTCAGCTGTGGACTTCACCAACACTCCTCCACACTCGTTCCCACACTGCCCTAAACCCAGGACTTCTCTCATGGCACCTGCCATTTCTTCAAAGCCTGTTCACTCTCTCCTCCAAGAACTTACTCTACCATTTCAGGGACCAGCAGATGGTTAATGGCTACGTCACTGGACTTCCATGTAGTTGACTGCGGTTCAAGTCCTGGAACCGGTGGCTTAAACTCACACCAGGCACATGTGCGTGCATGCCCAAGATCTCAAGAGAAGAATGGAGGAGAAGAGATTGTGGTGTGGCCATCTCCCCCTGGGGGGTGATTTCTCGCTTTCTGTCTCTATGTCTCTCTCTGTCTATCTGGCGAGCGCATGCGCCCTATAGCGAAAATCTCTCCAAAAAAAAAAAAAACCTTACTCTACCATTTTTAAGTTCTTGAGTTCCTCAGATAATACATGACAGCCTAATAACAATCTGGCCCCACCTCTCTAGATGAGATTTCCTATGACTGGCCATGCTGTTTTATACCCCTGTATTTTGCACGTGCTTCTCCGATGGCACATTCAGACCTCTACACCTTCTACTGTGTCTGTTAGAGTCACTGCTATTCCCAGGCTGTGAAAACTTGGGAGAGTCATAAACCCTTCTACGCTATAATTTCCTTATCTTTAAAATGCAAATAACAACCCTAAGTGCCTCATGTGGTTGTTGTGAGACTCACGTGGGCAAATTAATGTAGTACTGAGCACAGAGCTTGGCTTAGTTGGCCCTCTCAATTTTTACACATTTATCCACTTAGCCTACTTTGCTTTATCTACTGAGAAAATCTCCTGTCCATACTGGAAGTCTTTCTCCAGTCATCACTTCTATGAAGCCCTTCTGACATCCGCCCATTTCAGTCAGACTTAGCCACTCATTCTAATTCTACTTCTGAGAGATTTCTCACCAAATATAATTACCCACATGCTTCTTTCTTCTGAGAGAATGTATGCTCCTAAGGTACATTTCTTGGGAGCAAGGAATTTCTTTATCCATTTCTGTATCCCTAACACCTATTAACATCAAGGATGGGGGGATACTGTGAGGTTTTGAAGTAAATGATTATAACTCAATCTTATTTCACTTTCTAGACTATATCAGAAACAAATGTTGTAAAATGTTATCAGAGTCATGAAATTACATTACTTTGGTTGAAAAAAATACCTTTCCAAGAAATAAAACGAATCATTAAAGATAATTTCAAACCACGTACACAAGATTCAGAACCTAGGACTCCATGAGAATTATCAACCATTGGGAACCAGCAGTTAGCGTAATGGCTATGTCGCTGGACTCCCATATGGTCGACCACGGTTCATATCCCAGACCCAGTGGCTTAAAACTCACGCCGGGCGCATGTGCATGCGTGCCCAAGATTCTGAGAGGAGAATGGAGGAGAAGGGATTGCAGCATGACCATCCCCTTCTCGGGGGTGATTTCTCGCTTTCTGTCTCTATGTCTCTGTCTGTCTGGCGAGCACATGCGCCCTATAGCGAAAACCTCTCCAAAAAAAAAAAAAAAAAAAGAATTATCAACCATTTAAATCTGTGGTGAGAGCAATGAGGAAAAAGGAAAACATTGGGGTTGTTTCTAACTCTGAAGATGTAATACTTGTCTTTTTTATATCACAACACCTAAATGTAAAAGTTTTGAAATTAAAACTTTTAGATACCTTTCCAATTTTATTAATATGCTGATATATAATTAGACCTAAATAGTAGTTGTTCTGGTATATGGAGGGACTTGAAAAAAGTTGTGGGTATGGGACCAGGAGATTGCATAATGGTTGTATCACTGGACCCCACATAATTGACTCCTCGAGTCTCAGATCTGGCAGCTTAAAACTCACAACAGGTGCATGTGCGTGTGTGTCCAAAATCCCGACAGAGGAGAAGAGACTGTGGTGCAGTCATCCCCTCCAGGGGGGTGATTTCTTGTTTTCTGTGTCTTTTGTCTCTTCAGTGAGCTCATGTGCCCTATTGTAAAAGTCTCTCTAAAAATGTTGTGAATACATGAAATTAAAGTATAAGTTTTATTTTGGTACAAAAAATTTTGGAACCTATGCACTATTTTTCCATTATATGCATTTTCTAAATAAAAGAAATGCCATACAGACAACAACCTTTGATTTAGTCTTTTCTGAGGTCTGTAAATTTTTATGTTTTCCATAAGAGAGAGACAGAAACAGAATGACAACACCCCAAACAAGGTATCGACGCCAGAACCCCTACCTGCTTCTGCCCCTGGTCATGGGCACACTCGCGCCTGGTGTGCTTTGGCAGGGAGGGTCTCCAGACACCAACCGGCAAACTTCTCCTGGGGTTTGTCTTCCAGAGCATGGGCTTTTCCACTGTGCTACTACCTGGCCCCCATAAGATCTTTATTTTTGAAATGAATATAGCCAAATAGTAGTTTTTCAGTGAAAGACAACTTCTGAATAACTTGTAGGGATGGACAGTAAGCCCTGTCTCTCTCCTCTGCTCTCAACACACTGCAAGCTCTAGGAGCTGTCATTTTTCTGGAGGGAAGTGGAGAGAAGTTAAAGGGACAAGTCTTCAGAGTGAAGCCACTTGGAATGTCTTCCCAGGAGCTACCTGCACATGTCTTTGGATAGCAGCTTCCTTTTACCATCCCGCCTCAGCCCTCTGCCAAGAAGTAGGAATGGTACAAATGGCGTAGTGTGGAAAAGAGAAGACCATTCTCCTTTTGATTTTCATGATGCCTAAGCTTCTCCAAGCCAGGGGCTTTCCTCGCCTTACCTCTGGCTTTCAGTGGAGGCAGGGTAGGGTGCAGGTCTTTATTGCATTCGTTCCTCTCTGTGCAGCACTCAATGGATCTTCTCTGATGAGGAATGGGAGTGTCCTGAAGTTGAACCCAAACAGCTATTAGTGGGTTTCCTCAAAATTTCAAAATCACATCATCTACAACTGAAGAAAATATCACTATTTGGAGAACTCGTTTAAAATTCTAATAATTCTACTCAAACATCCTGAAAATGTTATTTTCTATCAGACACATTCTTTCAAGGGACTGTTTTATCCTACTGCAACTTTTGTCTTTTGACAAAAATCCGTACTGTACTGTGCTTATACTAACCAGTATATATGGGGTAAACTGAGGAAGGATGCTAGGCTTAATACAATCAGCTCAACTGGAGTTTAAGGAAGATGATCTACTGGAACATTCAGCAAAAAGGTAACAGCAAAAGAATGTTTGATTTCAAAATGAAGGGAAATTAATCCAATAAGAATATTCAGTTATTCTCTTCATTACTAACAAGAGGCTGACCATAGAAACAATTGCCTGATCTTGCTTGAAATGTGTTGGGAATGTAGCCAGTGAAAGGTGACAGAGTGAAGTTAACTTCCTTACCCGACACTGAAAATCGGAGCCTTCGAGTCCTAGACACCCCGAAGTGACCACAGGCATCCCAGAATCATCTTCTTCTATCATCGTGAAACAGTATCCGTCTGTGCTGAAGACGAAAGAAGGCAACGTGAGTGGGAGATGGGGCGGGGAGAACGTGTGTGTGTGTGTGAATGAGTGTGTGTGTGTGTGTGTGTGTGTGTGTGTGAGTGTGTGTGTGTGTGTGTGTGTGTGTGTGTGAGTGTGTGTGTGTGTGTGTGTGTGTGTGTGTGAGTGTGTGTGTGTGTGTGTGTGTGTGTGTGTGAGTGTGTGTGTGTGTGTGTGTGTGTGTGTGTGAGTGTGTGTGTGTGTGTGTGTGTGTGTGTGTGAGTGTGTGTGTGTGTGTGTGTGTGTGTGTGTGAGTGTGTGTGTGTGTGTGTGTGTGTGTGTGTGAGTGTGTGTGTGTGTGTGTGTGTGTGTGTGTGAGTGTGTGTGTGTGTGTGTGTGTGTGTGTGTGAGTGTGTGTGTGTGTGTGTGTGTGTGTGTGTGAGTGTGTGTGTGTGTGTGTGTGTGTGTGTGTGAGTGTGTGTGTGTGTGTGTGTGTGTGTGTGTGAGTGTGTGTGTGTGTGTGTGTGTGTGTGTGTGAGTGTGTGTGTGTGTGTGTGTGTGTGTGTGTGAGTGTGTGTGTGTGTGTGTGTGTGTGTGTGTGAGTGTGTGTGTGTGTGTGTGTGTGTGTGTGTGAGTGTGTGTGTGTGTGTGTGTGTGTGTGTGTGAGTGTGTGTGTGTGTGTGTGTGTGTGTGTGTGAGTGTGTGTGTGTGTGTGTGTGTGTGTGTGTGAGTGTGTGTGTGTGTGTGTGTGTGTGTGTGTGAGTGTGTGTGTGTGTGTGTGTGTGTGTGTGTGAGTGTGTGTGTGTGTGTGTGTGTGTGTGTGTGAGTGTGTGTGTGTGTGTGTGTGTGTGTGTGTGAGTGTGTGTGTGTGTGTGTGTGTGTGTGTGTGAGTGTGTGTGTGTGTGTGTGTGTGTGTGTGTGAGTGTGTGTGTGTGTGTGTGTGTGTGTGTGTGAGTGTGTGTGTGTGTGTGTGTGTGTGTGTGAATGAGTGTGTGTGCACGTGTGGGGGAAAAGGAAGTGAACAATGTGCTGTTTATTTCACTGCCCCTAAGGAGAAAGTTAATGATCAGTACGAGGTCACAATCTGGTAAGAAAATCCCCAAATTTCCCTTTATGAAAGTGAATTTAATTATGAAAAGCATGGTAATATCTACTTTGTCTGGAAACTTGGGGAAGGGCGAGGATCCAAAATTTCCGTAGAACACATATCATTAAATACCATTAATAACCACATATTCCAGTTAGTGAAAGCTGACTCCGGCCCTTCAGAGAGACCACTTTTTTGGACAAAACTCAGTGAGGAAGCAGTACTGCTTCTACCTTCTGTATGAGGAAACTGAGGCCTACAGAGTTTGAGTCAGTTCCCAAGGGCCACACAGTCAGAGAGAGGGAGAGCAAGGGTTTGAACCCACAGAGATGCCATTTATGCTGGTTCTCCTTGGCCAGGATAATACAATACTTCATCTCCTAACAAGGCAGGGAAAACAGAGTGAGGAAGGACTTGGGCTCCGCACAGCGTAACTGAGGCAGTGAAGACCAACTGTTTGAGAACTCTACCTCTGGACGGGCCTGTCTAAGCATTCTGGGCTTGAGTTGGGGGTGAGTGAAGAATGGACAAAAGAAAGGAGATTTGGCAAATAGTGGAAAGGAAATAAACAAAATTTTAAGTCTCTGTATGTTTTTTTTTGGGGGGGGGGAGAGATTTTCACTGTAGGGCGCGTGCACTCGCCAGACAGACAGAGAGAGACATAGAGACAGAAAGCGAGAAATCACCCCCCAGGGGGGATGGTCACGCCGCAATCCCTTCTCCTCCATTCTCCTCTCAGGATCTTGGGCACGCACACACATGCACCCGGCGTGAGTTTTAAGCCACCGGGTCCGGGACACGAACCGCGGTCGACTACGTGGGAATCCAGTGACATAGCCATTACGCTAACTGCTGGTTCCCAGTCTCTGTATGTTTTTTAAGATTAAAAATAACTTTCACTTCAGCTATGCCATTAAACCTCTCAGGAACAATGAGAAGAAAGTAGTAGTATAGGGAAACTGAAGTTCTAAGAGAGTAATATACTCATATAAGGTCAAAATCAGTTACAGAAATAGGTCTTAAATCAAGGACCTCTGACTTCATTCCCACATGTTTTCTACTATTCCCTTTCTGTGAAAAAAAGAAAAAAAGAAAAAGAAAGAAAGGAAGGACGGACAAACGGACTGGGAGCCAGCAGGTGGTGTAGTGGTTAAGGAGTTGTACTCCCACATGGCTGACCACAGTTC